ATCACTTCGGAGGGACCTATTCAATAAAACAGACGATGAAGCACTTTTGCGTGCAAGTCTGGACTTAGCTGAAGAATACCGCAACAAAGCTCGGTTAAGGATAGCAGCTTACCAGCAGCGTGCGAAAAGATTCTTCGACTCTAAAGTCAGAAGAAGAGACTTTCAGGTCGACGACCTAGTTCTGAAAGAAGTCATTCTCGGTACAAGAGAACCAAGCGCAGGAGTATTGGGACCGAACTAGGAAGGCTCATACTGCATCGTCAAGGTGATACGACCGGAGACTTATCACCTCAAAAGGCTCAACGATTCCGAAGTACCGTGTGCTTGAAATGCTGAGCATCTTCGCCCCTATTATCAGTAATTCCAAACTTACTCTTTTAATTTCCTCGTAAGAATTCCTTTGAAAGCTTTGTAATTAATATCGTTTTAAGCCAAATTCATCTTGTATAAATGTATGATTTTGTTCCCCACATTGTTTTTATCTTTCTGTTCGCATATGTAATGTTTGTGAAGTATGAAAAATTATAAGTCCTCACAAATAATTTAATATTGCAAATAGCTAGAGAACGTCCCCCTGTTCGCATATGTAACGTTTTTGAAGTACGAAAGATTATAATTGCTCACAAATAATTTAAAAAATGATCATTTTATTCATAAATTTTTAAATACAAGAGAATATGCAAGAGCAGTCAAAAGCAAGGTTATGGAAAAAATAAATGCAGAAGCGATTACTGGTCTTCGTCCCTAGGCCTTGAAGGTGAGACCTCGGTATCTCCAGGTTGGTCGCTGACCACTTGGTCAACTGTCGGGTCCTCCAGGACATACTCCTCCGGTTGATCCTCTTCCAGGTGAGGCCCTAGACCTTCTTTCTCATCATCGGCTCTTGCCATGTAGGCAAGGATCTTCCGTTGAGGTCCATGGTCGGGTTCTTTGGCCGAAGGGCATAAATGGACTGAATCGACCAGTCAGCAGCTTTCCTCTCAATTTCCAATTCTTATCATTTCATCTCTTCGGTTAATGAAGCGACCAGCCCCTGGGATAATTCGAGGTCCGCCTCGAGTGCCCTCATCTGCTTCTCGAAAGTTTCCCACAACCGAGCTCTCACTTCCTCTGCTCGCAAGGCCCGCTCGAAGTTCGCACGCAACTCTAACTCTTTCTCGCCAGCCTCTTTGGTGAGCCTGGCCACTGTCCTTTGAAGTTGTTTAAGCTCCTCTCCCCTCTTCTCCAGCTCAGCCTTCTGGAATTCCACCGTGTGAAGAGCAGAGTTCCTCTCTAACATGTACTGGTTCGTCTAAACGATGTTTAGGTCTAGCTCTTCTTTCGCAGCTGCTAAGTCGTGCCTCAGCTGCGTGTTCTTTTCCTTCAGCTCGAAGAGTCTCCCGACAGCTTCCAGTTGGATCTTTTGTTGGGCCAGGTGCATGGCGAACAAAGACTGCATAATGAAATAAGAAGTATTAGACTGTCTCCTTGAAAAGAGTAAAGTATTAGAAAGTCCTCGACGAGGACAAATCGTCTTACCTGACTTTGCATTTGAACCGCCCTAATCATCAAGTCCGTAGGGTTGGAGACCACAAGCTCTTCAAAGACTTTGGCAAGTTGGCACTCCAAAAGGGTGAACACCACCGGCTGCAGGTGCTCCGGAATTTGGCCTATAGAGTCTAACACTAATGTGTTAGCTCTTGAAGCAGAGGGCACCTCGCCAGTCGGCCCTTTGCCTTCTCTCATCCTGAAAGAAGGGCCTCCCTTTGTCTCCTACGCAGACGGACCAGTGTAACCCCGGTTGGCTCCTCGAGCTTCCTCCCGAGCAAAAAGTCTGATAAGGCTGCAACCTCCCAAGTTGCACCCCCAAGCCCTCTGGCTCGGACTCTGATTCCTCGGGTTGCATCACCCTTCTTTTCTTGAAATTTTGGCCTATGGTCTTCTGCTTTGGGGGTGCGGTCGCAAGTTGAGAAAGTTCTGCTGATTGTTCGGTTGGTGGCTGCGCCCCCACCTGCGGTCCTTCGACAGGGGTGTCGCTAAGGCCCGCCTCGGCTGTTTCCATGGCGCCAACCTGGGGAAAACGAACCCCCTCTCTCTCAACGACCTTGGCACTCTAAGCGGCACATTCGCTGCATGCAAGTATTGTTAGTAAAAGAGTTCGCTATATACAAAAGCAAAAATTTGAAAAGACTGCAGACACTTACGAAGTAAGGGTTCCAAAGTCACTTCAGAATTGAAGAAGTCATACTTCCTCAAATTGGTGGTTGTCACGAGCAGTTTTACGTCATGACAATAATCTGGCAGGTTACCGAATGAAACTATTCGGTTGAAGTCAAAGATATCTGTCAACCTGGTCAACTTGTTTCCTGCGAAGAGACAAGAAAGATCGTTAGAAAGTAGATCCCAGAAAGAAAAGGAAAAATTCAGTAAGTACAAAAAGGAAAGACATACTCAGCTCCCTAAAGTGACAGATGCCATCGTAATGGAAAAAGAAAAGCTTGGTCTCGTATGCCCCGACATTACTGGGATAATTGAATATGCCTCCCTCGATCGTGGATCGCTTCGAAAGGTAGTAAGAATCTTTGTCCTTGCTCTTTTTTAAATAGTACGAGCAAGCGAGCTCCAGCGTAGTCAGTTGGCCAAGGTCGTACTCGATGCACGCGATATGCATAGCCACGGCTATCATATATGCATTAGACGTTAGTTGTAAATGTGCGACCCCAAAGTGATTGAGCATCGACCTAATAAGGGATGGAAGGGAATTAGTGCTCTGCATTTGAATATAGCTTCAGAGATCGCAGCCATTCCCTCTGGCGGATTCCGAGCTGTATACGACCTGTACCGGTAGACGTCTACGCTAAGTGTGTATTAGTCTACTACCTTCTATATTTCCTCTCAGGTAGCCACTGACAGAATCTCTTACGCAGGACCCACTAGGGCGTCCTGCGCCTGCGAGCTTGTCCCCTCATTTGTTCTGGTCACTGTAGGGTCTATCTTTTCTACAGTCTGAAAAAAGGGGACACGTACAGATTACTCAGTCTCCATACAGAATTTTGTACGACAAAGTGGAAGAACAAAACCCTAATGTATCTTCCAAAAATCCTAAAAAACCCTTGGGGACCACCCCCAATGGTTCGTATCCTGAAAACATATTCCTTACAGAAGTCTAGCCATAAACACCCACCATTATCGTCTAGTTAAGTTGTCCACAAAACAGAAAAAGGAAAGCAATGGAAGGATCTTCCTTACCGTTTTGGCTGTGGCGGTCGAACTTCTTACTGTTAATAGAAAGTGCGTACCAACTTGAAGGATTGAAAATCTGGTCTCGTAAGAGCTTTTTGCTTTTTCTGAAAGTATGAGTGTTGTGACATGCTTAAGGCGAGTCTGGGGTTTTATAATAGAGGAAACGACGATTGGTCTTCCTGAAGCTAAGCGACGTTTGAGCGAAATGCATCTTTCGACGATGATCACGACCACGTGTCATCAATCGACGAAAATGAGTAACAGCCACGTTTCAAGAAATTCAATCGTCGCGTCTTTCTGTTGAAATAATCGAGCGACGACTCAATTCTCTCCTCCACATTAAATGCGCTCTCATCCGCATTTAATGCCCTAATAAGGAATGTCGTTTCAACATGTCTTGCATTTAATGCGCATGGCTGACACTTATTGCGCACAGGACACGTTTTTCAAAATAAAGGAAACTTCATTAATGAATTAGCTGTCAAGCGCAACGGATAACATCTGAAGAGGTCGTTGGAAAAGAACACTCTTCATCGCATGTCGGTTGCAAAGCGATGTGATTCCTTGCCTCCAGCAAAAATATGCCAAGTGTAATCAGGTCGCGGACCTCGGTTAAGATAAGAGGTGCATTGATACGGCACTGAGTAAGGTCTGATCCGAGTCATCGACTTCACGGAAGAAGACCATCTTAGGTCGCTTGTAGAAAAATGTTTTGCGACCTCTTTGTAGCTAGGTTGGCTCGACCAAGCGTCATTTGAATATGTCAAATCATGGCATAATTATGAATTTTTCAAGGTTCGATCCTTGAACCTTAAAATCTGGGGGACTTCTATTATGTCGGAAAAAGTAAGGCTGGCGTGAAGCCTTGTTAGTAAAAGATGGTCAGAGTTCATAAGGGTTTTGCGCCGTCTAGGTGCAGCCACGTCGCGCCTAGCGCAAGTGGTATGACTCCTGTCAGTGCAGCAAGTGAGTGTCAGGCCAGCAAGCGATTGGAGATCGCCTATGTGGCAATGGGACGCAAAGAAAGGATTTGCACGGCACTTACCTACTTGCAGCTTTCATAATCATTACCTTGAACTTTCCCACTACAAATAGAGGATTTCCCTCTCATTTGGAAAAATTAGCTGATTTTACGTTGAAATATTTTTCTCTCTCTCTAAACTGTAACTTAGCTTGTTGAACGCGACCTGATCACTCTTTCTTATTAATACAATAGCAGTGGACGTAGGATTCACTTTAGAGCATCCGAACCACTTTAAATATCGTTCTTCACCTTTTATTTGATTCAATCCCCTCATATCACGTGTGACTTCTAAATCATTTTAATATTTTATACGTACGAGTAATTGGTGTCAAAATCAAGCATCAACAGACATCAGCAGGTATAATGTCACATTAATACTCTGCTAAACCAGTCTATATTATTTTATGTATTTAATTAGTTGTATTCTTTGTAATAAATTTGAATTTTTTTTCTTTTCTTTTCCTCGGGGGAATATTATAATAATTAAGAGCATAGTTATGTGTAGTTGACGAAAGACGAGTAAAATCTCCATAAATTTCTCTTCTTTTTACCATGTTAAGAATCATAACTGACTCACTAATCATCATGGGTTGACGAACAGTAACTTCCCTAATTCATTCTTTCATCTTTTCAAATTCAAACGGTTAATTCCCTCTCTTCTCCTTTCATTTCATCCATTAACTCTATCTTTCTTTCTCTTCATCTCTCTCCAACTGTTACAGAAAAGAACCACAACTTAAAAACATCATCAAAGATGTGGATACAGTGGTCACTTACAAGACTCGTTAGATGGAGAGTGAAGGACTGGGCTTCATGTTTCACCGCTTGCAGATTCCCTTTAGGTAATCAAATAGATTATAGTTGGCTTTGTGTGTACAACTTATAATGTCATACGGGTTTTTTTTTGCAGATGATGAGACGGATACGTATCGATCGTCGCCGCCGCAACTTCCGATGAGGAACATGGTATTTGAGATGAAAGATGGTGAGAGTACTAAAGGCAAAAGGATTGGTAAAAAGTTGCTAAGGAGAAAGCGATCATGCAGCAATAAGAATAGTAATAATAATATATGTGGTACAAGAATAAACCCCAGTACATCAACACAGGCGAGGAGCCATAATCTTGTTTCAACAGAAAACACAAATGGTAATGACTCGAGCTGGCCTCATTTTACCGATGAAGATTATATCGTCTTCTGCTTTAGAGAGGATGGAGCATTTGATGTGGTAAAGGATTGCAAATCAGAAACACCAACCAATCAAATTGATTCATTTGATTGTACAAGTACTAGAAGAAGTTCATGGCCTCTCAATCAAAAGGTAATTAGGAAAGAACCTCATTGTTCTCTGAAAAAAAATGGCAGCCCGCTTGTTTATTTTCGTTAAGAAGTAGAAATAACATTCATTTCTTGGTGGAATAGACGTATGAAGATGGCCCAACAAGTGAGGAAGATATCAAAATCCCTGTCACAGAGGTGATGGTGAGCTTTGAATTTCTTTGTCTATTGATAACAAAAGTGGAGTTGAATTAATTTGATTGTGGTTTTGGTTTTGGTTTTGGTAGGTTGATGAAGAAGAGATTATATACGTAGATGCAGAGTCATCTTCAAGGAGATACCAGAATGAGGAGATGGAGAATCAAGGAATGGTGTCAGTAGGATCAAGTGACTCCAATCAATCGGACAACAGCTCGGGATCTTTTGCGTTTCCTGTGTAAGTTAATATGAAAATTTGCAAGTTTTGATTTTCAAAATAATTGGTGAAAATTAATAAAAACAGTAATGCAGATTGGGATGGGAGTGGAAAGGGAGTCCAGCACAAATGCCGAAATCAGAGGGACTACATTTGAGGAAACACAAGACCATTTCTTTGAGTTTTCAGTGTTGTAGATTCTGAATTAATGTTCATCTTCTCAATTTTATATATTTCATTTATTTATATAATGGCTAGTTTTAGATTATGATCGTTAGAACATGGAAATTTCTGCGTTGCAAGAGACTAATTTTCCTGTAATGTGTCAAAAAATTCTATCTAATCCTTGTTATAGTAAAACCGTCTCACAAGTTCTTGCATTTAAGATTTTGGAAATTCTTTCCATATTGGGGCTTATGGATGCTAATTTATACATATAAAGTATGGGATGAAGATGAAGATGAGAAATTTGAAATAAATATTAAATAACCTTCATACAATCCTCAATATAATTAATATGGTATTATTATAAATTGTCGTCTTTGGGGCTTAACAATTATTCTTATCAGATTATTTTACTTCTCCACAGTATAAAACCAAAAAATAAAAAAATAAAAAAAATCTGTTTTTATTATACGTAAGATTATAACATTAGTCTAGTTCGCCTATACCATTTTATCTACCCTTATTAGTCCTTAGAGGCTTAAACCAACCATTTTTGTTGAGTTAATGACATTCATCTCTCATGTTTGAAAAAAGTGTTACTTTGTCCCAGTAAATGAGTAAAATCTAAAAAAGTCATTTTAGTTCTTGTCAGATTACTTTTTTTTTTTTTGATAAGTTCTTGTCAGATTACTACAGTTAGAAAAAATTATATAGTATAAAGGTATGGTTGTCCTTTTACAAATTTTAAGAATAATAACATGAAATTGAAAAAAAGGAACATTTTAATTTACATAATAATGAAATTAAATCAGGAAACAATAAATTATAAAATAAAATTTGATATGAGAATTTTTTTTATTTTCGTTTTTTAAGGTAGAGATTTTTATTTTAAATATTTAATTGTGAATTTTTTTTATTTTTTTATAGATTCTATTAATTTTCTATTTCATTGTAATTTCATTATATTAATTTCCAAAGTCTAATTTTTATTCTGTATTTATCCTTCCAAAAAGACAAATGGGGGTATGGTAGACATTTCAGTTTCAAAGCATCAGCACAATACTAACACTAGCACTCTTAACAGGGACTATAATGACTTTTTAATATTTTACCGGCCCAAAGGCAATTCTTCAAACGTCAGGGATGAAAATGTCATTAACTTTTTTCTTATTTGATGTAAGATTACAACATTCCCCCCCAACCAATAATGTCTCATCCCATTCAGTACTATTTCCGACTGGTGCAACTCACCCCTTAACTCAGCTCCATTTGACGTAGAATGGCAACAATATGCATTCTTAAAATTTATATAACATCCACTCTGTCATTTTAATCTTATAATTCAAGTTTTCAGAACGTCACCGAATAATGAATACAAAACTATTTCTGAAGCATAATCTAAACCAAACAGAAACATAATCCCGGTTGGGTTCTTTGTTTTAATCAGTTATGTCTGGTATGACTGTTCAGTTTATCGGGATCTTATTAGGCCAGAAATCGGTGAGAAAAGAGTGAGTTTGAATTGGATGCTTCACTCCTCAATCGGTGGACTCTATTGATAAAAAAATTCATACATTTGTTCACATCAAACAACAGGGTAGACGCTATTAACACCAAGAATGAAGCCTTATATTACTAACAAGTCACAGTTACGAGGGAAACTAGAGAAGCAATATAAGTTACAGGAAGAATCAGTGTGAACTTTTGGAACATTTTACATCAGACCGTGAAGGAGCTAGCGTGCTAAGGCTTTCGAAGAAGCGTCTGAAATCCCAGGGTCGGAAAAGTTTCCGGATCTGAAGACAATTGATTGAAGATACAATCTTGCACTGGCTGCAGCGGCAATAGATTCTTCATCTTGCTTCTCTTTTGCAGCAACAACAGCAGCAATGTACGCCTCTCTAGCTTCTTCCATTTTCTGTGTCTCCGTATCATCCATATCATCCTGCTCAATGCAACATCAACGTTACAATGTCTAATAGAAAAAACATGAACCATCAATTATCTGAATCTATAGAGATCCAAACTACTTCTCCTCAACAACTAATTGGCTACATTTTTTGTAAGATGAGTATAAGTCCAAAAGTAATTTCACATGTTGTCACTTAACCCACTTTAAACTTATCCAAGGCAACAATGACTTCAAATTTAATAGCATAAATATATGATGCAGAACACAAATGCAATTCGCTATAATCAGTAAATAAATCAAACAAATGTTTTGCTTGTAGACTTCCCCCTCTCAGGAATGTTTGTTTCGTAAGAAAGCAATTAAGTACCATGCAATGTGCAATGAACACCACAGAAGTGGGAGAAACAAAGCAAAACAGAAGAACTAGCGCAATCAAGAAGGGAGTGAAGAACTTACAGTATCAGAAAGATGATCACGATAATATGGTGTGACATCATAATCATCATCAGCATCAATAGTGGAATCATTCTTAATAATGCCTTTGAATAACTGCATAAACGATGAAATCTCTCCTTGCATGGAATCTAGTTCTTCCTGGAGCTTTTCCACTTTCTTATTTGCCGTCATTGCTTCCCATTGTATCCTCTCTAGGGCAGCTTGCTTGTCTGCAAGCTTTATCTGTGGATAAAGGTATATGATAGCATAAGATTGTTTACAAATAATCATTATACAACAACAAAGCATTGAGAAATTCATTATACAACACAAAGCAGTAGGCACTCTAGGTACCTTTGCATCAGAAAGTTGTAACTGTGTAGACTTAACTAAAGAGTCCTTCTCTTGAACCTGGAGTTTCAGCTCATCAAGTTTCAATTGAACAGCGTTCATCTCACTTTTTGAAATCTCAGCTGATTTCAGTAGTTCATCCTTCTCCAATAACTGCCTCCGTAGATCCTCTACTTCTTCTCTCAATGCAACCAACTCTTCTTTTTCTTTATCAGATGCCAAAGCCCTTGAGGAAAATATTGAGAAACTATCGGCATCTTGGTTACTGTTAGCATTCTTACCTAGGTCTTTATCTCCATGGTCCTTCTTCTTCTTTGGGGGAAGGGACTGAGCTACATTCCTACCTTTTGGATCCACCTTAATATGGATAAGAAGAGAATAATCAATGTGCATTTGACAATACAATAGTAGCAAATAAATACCCTATTTGAGACCATGATTTGGAATAAACAAAACACTCTTAAAAAAAACAGATGCATACTGACACAATATAAGTGCGAACTGAAAAATAAAGAATTTGTCAAAATGAAAACTTGAAAAATGAAGCAGCAGTTGGAAACGGAAATTTGATACTCATAGCCCAGATATCCTTTTCATCTGTGGCCTAAATAATCAAAAACAGAAATGAGTAATTGATCATGCCTGCCCTTAATTATAGCTACAAGTGGCACTTTGGATGCCATGGACAACCATGACTTTTACCAAACAAAAACAATAATCTGAATCAATGTAGTCAAACTGCAACCAAGAAATGTGTTTGGCAGGAGCACTAATAGCCACATGAACAACGATAATAGAAATATATGCAAGAAGCTTCCAAACTCTGCTTGAGTACTTGAACAATTTAGCAGAAAATTTTCAATATATCACATTGGCCCAACAAGATACAAGAAATTTACTCAAACACACTTGATTCCAGTTCTGACAAACCACTCACAAGTCACAAATGCTAAGACATGACTGAATGGGCAAAAAATGTCTAACCGGTAGAAATTTCCAACTACCATCTCCTTCAGTAATTTTTATTATTTAAGAAAATACAGCTAATCAAATCACCGAAAATCATAAGTATCCAGCCAGTACAAGAAATCCAACACAATTCAACCAACCATTATATCCCGGATATCCCACTTCCAAATCATAATACTCAATAGAAAACCATACAAAATGACAAATGATTAAACACACAAGTTTCGATGTGCATCATAATGTTTGTAGCTAGAAAAAGAAAATAATAAATCAACCACTCCAACTTAATAACACTAATCAAAAATTAAAATTATTACATTTTCAATTCTTTTGTTGTTGTTTACTAATTAGGAGTACTTTAAAATGTACTCGAAAGGCACATACTAAAGAAGACTTAAAGACAGAAGTTTGACGCAATTTTCAGTGCACTGACGGTTAGAAAAAAAACCCCGTTAACGCAACAAGCATTTCTCAGGTATTAAGATACACAAATATTCCCAATTAATTTCTTTCAATATTGTTACAAAAATCAATAAATTAATTAAAACCGCAAAATATTTTGATGCCTAATGCACTACTTGGCCACCTCTAACTCTCTAAGACAACACATAAATTGCCTAAACAACTTTGTTTAACATAATTAACCCAAATATACGTAAAACAGAAAAATTAAAATTAAAATAATAATATTAAAAATAAATAAAAAGCCTTACTTTTTTGGATAATGATTCTCTTGAAGGCGTCTTAGTGTAAAATACAGAACCACGGCGAGTAAATGAACTGTTCGCTTTCCGATCCTGAAAAAAGGAAACCATTTTTTTTTTTTTATTAAAAAAAAAAAAGCTAAAAATAAAATAAATTAAAATGAAAAATAAAGGCGAGGTTTACAAAATTACTTACGATGAGGGACTGAACGAGAGGGACGATCTCGACGAGGTCCTTGAAAAGGACGCGATCCACATTACTGTTAACTGTTCCGAGTGAGGGATGAGTTCGATGCTGACTCGGGGAGGAGTTGTCGTCTCCGATGAGCCAGGATTTTGGGTCCCCAAATGTCGAATTATCTTGCAAATCCAGAAAGTGTTGTGGCTCGAACATTCTTCTTCACTACTGGTACTGGTTTCAAAAAATTTAGCTTCAATAATTAGAAAATAAATTGAAATTTTGAGTGAAATTGGGGTTGGTGAGTGAGTGAAGGATATTACTCTCAAAGAGAGACTTCGTTTTGAATTTATTTGTTTGTTTTTCTCTTTTTAGACATGGATCTTCAACGGCATTTGGAAAATACTGGTAGATTTACTAAACTACCACTCTACCTTTTTCTTTTAAAAATAAAAAATTGGAATTGGAATTAATTGATAAACCATGGAAA